CCCCGAGCAAGAAACCTTTCATAATGAGTATTCAAAATGCAATTCACAGAGGGCGGCAGGACTTTCGGTTGGGGGCGTTTTTGGGGGGCGGGAAGGATACAGGAAGAGGGTTGCATATGTGTGTGTGCCGCACAGGGGTTGTTGCAAGCATATGCATAAATCTAAGGATTTGCGTAGGAAAGGGCATACTTTAACACAAAAACAGATCAGGAATGTGCCCGAGAAGTACCGGGTATGGTGACTCTTATACTTTCATTTTTTATAACTATAATTACTCTTATAATACTTGGATTCAGAATATGTCTGTTAAGTACCGGGTATGTATATTTTCTTTCCAAACTAAGTACAGTTATATATGATAGCCTACAGGTATAACGTTTTACTCTTATAATTGCACTTATTACTTTAATTACTCTTCTACTAGTATCAGTATGCAGATTAGTTGGTAATTTTTCGGCTAACAGGTATAAATTTTACTCTTATACTTTCTTTTCCTAAAACTTTTATTACTCTTATAATATTTGGATTCAGGATATGTCTGTCTTTTGTTAGTTTAACAGTTATATATTATAGGCCACAGGTAAAGTTTTACTCTTATACTTGCCCTAATTACTCTTATACTTTGTAGATCAAAAATATGTCGGAGAAGTACCGGGTATGGATAGTACTTGCTAGTTTTACTTTTCCATTTAAGTACAGTTATATCCCAAGTAACGGGTATTAATATTACTCTTATACTTGCTTTTGTTATAATTCAAATTAGTCTTATATTTAATAATAAGTTCACTAAGTACAGTTTCAGTTTAAAAAGAAAAAAAATAAAGTAAAAGCCATGGGTCATTAAGAATTTAATTTTAAATTGCAACTTGCAACTTTGCAACTTTGCATTTTGCATCTTCCATCTTGCCACTGCCACAACAAGTCTTGTTCTTCTACTCACACTCTCCCTTTCTTTCTAGCTGGCACGCTCTTTCACTTGCACTAGAAATAGATGCAAGGCCCAGTCTCTTAAGCCCCAAATTAAGGGCCAAGATTTTATTTTAATTTCAATGATTTTTTGTTGTAATTTTTAAGCCGGCTTTCACTATCTTGGCTTGTTAGGTCGGTCTGATAATTTTTTTTTGTTTTTGAAATTTTTTTTTTATTACACTCCATGTGAGGAGGAGGGAGGGGTCTACCCCAAATGTGGAAAAGAGATGGAGACAGTTCAAGGACCAGGCCACAAAACAGGCCGCAAGGCAAAGCGCATCGCAAACCGGCTTCAGTTTCAGCTTTAAAATCAAGTCATAAGTACACAGAAAAAAATTAAAAAATTTAAAAATTAAAAAAAAAAAATTTAGAAAATGTATATTTCTAAAAGTATCTTTAAGATACTTAAGAGAAAAGTATCTTAAGATTTCTTTAAACATCTTTAAGATTTTGATTTATTTTTGAAGTAATGTATACATTTTTTTTAAGTGTACAGTCAGTAACCGATGACGAGGACAAAAGCTCTTACACACTCACACACAACCACACACACACACACCTATAGTGCAATATATTGCATCCAAATGAAGAAGAAGAAGCAGCAGCAGCAGCTCCAACTTCAAGGCTCCTTGACTCGTCATTGTTGTTGTTGTTTTTTCTTTTTTTTTTTGTTTTTATTTTTATTATTATTTTTTTTTTTTTGTTATCTGTCGCATCCTCCATCCTCCGCAGAAGTCGTTACATTGAAAGAAAAAGTGAGAGAAAGGTATGGGAACTGAACAGAAGAGAAAGAGAGCAGAAGCAGCGGAAGGGGAGCCCTGCATAAGAAACGGAAATTGCACACATAAAGCGCCAAGTCAAGAGAGTCTGTCTCCCTGCTCGCTCTCTCTCTCTCTCTCTATCTTGGGTGATTCTTGCAAGCCAAGTTTAGTTCTACACTGAAAGAAATTTTACAACTAAAAATAAAAGATTTAATTTTTGTTTTCAAGTCATAAATTTTAAAAACTAATAAAACAAACAATTGTTCAATTTAAAAATTATTTAATTTTTCTCTTACTTATTTTACATTTTAATTTCTCTCAGTGCCTGACGGGATTTCCCTTGCTTTATTGCAATAGATGCGAATGCAATTGGCAAGAGCTTTTATCTATTGATTCATTTAAACGCAATTTCCTGTGCACTTCAAGGAACGACCAGCCAACCAGCCAGCCAGAAAGCCAGGCCAATACAAATCAGAAGAAAAAAAAAAGGTGAAGCGGAAAAGCGAAAGGGGGAATGGGAATGCCAAGGTACAAGGCACAAAAAGGGGGAGAGGGGTTGGAGCAACAACACAAGGCAAGGTGGGGCAAGGTACAGGGTGGTGGTAGTGCCACCAACCAACCATCTTGCAACAGCAACATCAACAGCAGGAAGGTACCAGGCACCAGCATCGCATCAGCAAAAAGGAAATCAAGTTATCTGCGAGATGCAATCCTCAAAGAATGAATGCAGAATCTACTTAACTGGAATGGAATTGGGATTATTGAATGGTGGGAGGGGAGAGGGGAGAGGGGGGAAGTGAGAAATTCTATGTATTCTCGTATTCGTATTCCTATTCGGATGCAATGTCTCAATTGAAATGGAATTGAGTCTCGAGCAGGGGGGGTTTCTTTTTATCAGGAAATGATACTATTTTTTAAGTAAAAAGGCAGGAATTATACAAAACTTACTTTTTATAGAGATAACTTTTAAAAAGAATTAATACCATTTTCAATAAAAATTGTATACCAGAAAAGACTTAATTTTTAAGCAAACTTTCCAGAGAAAAATAGTAATTAAAAAATATTAAATTTTAAAAAACATAATCAATTTTATTTAAAAAACAACCTTGCGAAAAAAAAGGACAAGCGGTCATACTGACATTACAGTAAAGACCTTTTAAATGGAGTTTATTTTTTACTTTGCAGATATAAAGTGTACTTTATTTAAAAGATTATTATCCAACAGATGTTTAAATAAATCAAAAATAATAAATTGAAATTATAATAGAGTGTTTTCCGCAAAAAAAATAAAAACAAATAATTTAGTAATCCCTGAATATGATGCACTTTCCAACGCATAAATATTCATAGTCACACTTCTTTGTTATCCTACCGACATCCTTTCCCTTTATTTTTTTCTTCTTGTAGTTGCTCTGTGGAATTTCCTTTTCATTTTTTTCTTTTTCTGTTAATGTTGTTGTCTTGAGCTTTGGCAGTGAATGCATTACACTCCCAATCCCCCTCTTTTTTTTTTTGGGAAAAATTCCAACTTATAATAATAATTATATAATTATTATAATTATTTAGAAATTATAATAGAGTGTTTTCCGCAAAAAAAATAAAAACAAATAATTTAGTAATCCCTGAATATGATGCACTTTCCAACGCATAAATATTCATAGTCACACTTCTTTGTTATCCTACCGACATCCTTTCCCTTTATTTTTTTTCTTCTTGTAGTTGCTCTGTGGAATTTCCTTTTCATTTTTTTCTTTTTTCTGTTAATGTTGTTGTCTTGAGCTTTGGCAGTGAATGCATTACACTCCCAATCCCCCTCTTTTTTTTTTTTGGGAAAAATTCCAACTTATAATAATAATTATATAATTATTATAATTATTTAGAAATTATAATAGAGTGTTTTCCGCAAAAAAAAAAAAAAAAAACAAATAATTTAGTAATCCCTGAATATGATGCACTTTCCAACGCATAAATATTCATAGTCACACTTCTTTGTTATCCTACCGACATCCTTTCCCTTTATTTTTTTTCTTCTTGTAGTTGCTCTGTGGAATTTCCTTTTTATTTTTTTCTTTTTTCCTTTTTCTGTTAATGTTGTTGTCTTGAGCTTTGGCAGTGAATGCATTACACTCCCACTCCCCCTCTTTTTTTTTTTTTTGGGAAAAATTCCAACCCCTCCGGGACTTTCCCGGTTTTCTCTGCTCTTGACAATGTGCTCCCCTCCCCGCCTCGATCGATATTTTAATGCCCTGCAGCTGTGCTTAAGCTTGGTGTTTCGTTTATTGTTGTTGTTGTCGCTACTGTCGCTTGTTGGCACCGTTGCAAGTTAACAGTTAACAGAGCTAGCGGTTGTTTGTTGTTACACTTGGGCGAAAAAAATTGAGGGTTTTCAAGGAGGGCTTTTTTTTTTAAAGAAAAAAAAAAAAAAAAAAAACTATAGCTTTGAAAATAATTCTTAATTTATCAAATCTTAGGAGGAGGAGGAGGAATTTTTGGGAGACAATATTGTACAAAAAAAATATACATATGTATACATATATGTATGTATATTTATACTCTTTTATAATTATATAATATATATAAAAGCTTGAATATATAAACTAAAGAATTATAAATTAAAAAAATATAATAAAAAAATTAAATAAAATATATATGAACCTATAAAAGGTTCATAGCTCTTGATAAGCTCTTTAATTGACGCAAATATTAATTTGGGGAATCTTTATGTTTTCAATACATACAAACTAAGACTGTAACGCATATGTATATAATATTAGGGGGTCTTCTAGTCTAGAACCACAAATTTCAAGGATTTTTTAAAAACTTTTTTTTTAATTTTAAATAATTTTTCTTTTTTTTTGTACATGAAATTTTGTTTAAATATTTAAAATTAAAAAATTATAGGTATTGTTAGGTTATAGGTTAATTTATGCGATAATGGGATGTTCTTCGGATTAAAACTTTAGATATGATATCAACAAAGTTTTTTCGATGAAACCGGTATATGTACTTCCCAGATACTAAAAAGGCCCAGACTTCGAATAATTGAGTTTCATTAGAAGACCCCCTTAAGCGCAACATCCGGCTAAGAACATAAGCCAGTCTTGTTGCTAATCACCTCTCTCTAATCACGTATAACCTTTGACATCCCATCCGTACACTGAGCCTGTGGAATATTTTGGCTTTTCTATATGTGTGGGTATTTCCAAATTCCTTATCAGAACCTCTGTCAAGGCCGAGGATGGCTTTAAAAAGCCGGAACTTCAAGACTCGCAGCATCAGTTGAAATATTTCTAGTGATTCTTTTAGAAGCAAGTTTCGTTCGATCGCAAAAGTTTGATTTTCTAAGATGATTTTCCCAGTGGTCCTTATTTCTGCCTTTTTCCTAATTTCCACCTCCGTGGGATCTGAAGAAGTAATTGACATTTTGAAATATTTTTGTTTTGAAAACTAAATAAAATTAAAAATCCACAGTCCTGCTATCTGTCGGAGGAGCAGGAGGACCAGTGTGCTTCCGTGTGCTACCCTATCGTCAAGCCACTACTTCGATATTTTGAGAAAAGTAAGGAGAAGGATGTGCAGCTCCTACAGTGCAAGACAGACTACTCAGAACTTCAGAAACGATATTCCGAGTTGGGACTGGAAAAATATGACCAGATATCAAAATGCCAAAAGGATTATTCGGACTTGGAGAGAAGGCACTCAGAAGTGCAAGATAAATATACGGATGTGCTGAGTAAACTTAACGACATTGAAGTTAAATATGAGAGGTTACTTGCCAAGCAGCAGGAAAGTGAAAATCTTAACGCCCTAATAAATCAAAAAAATAAAGAAATCGAGCTACTTAAAGAGCAAAATAGGGACCTAAAGAAAACAAATGAGCTTGCAACGTTGACAAATCAGTTCCGCGAAAACATCGATAGGTTGGGAGAAATAGTAAAGAATGGAGCAAATATTTTAACAGAGTCGACTAATAAAACAAAAGTAAATACTGGAGGGGTCCCTACAACTCCACTGCCTAGTATCAGTGATCCGACGACGCCGAAAACAGAAATCATAGGTAAGTTAGCAGAACCCAGTCATTTGCAAAATAAAACATCGACTTTTTTCAGATCTTCCAGATCCTTGTCCACGAAACCAAACGGAATACGAAGTCCTTCGCGAAATCCAACTTCCAGGCTCAGACCCGTTGAAAGTGTCTTGTGTTTCATTCGATGGTTATGGATCAGGATGGTTGAGGGTTTATAATAAACCTTATTCTCCAGAAACATTGAATCGCACGTATAAGGATTATGAACGTGGATTTGGAAGTGTTTTAGCGTTAAGTTTCATTGGACTCGAACGATTGCACCTTTTATTGAATGCAAACCCTCATAATGTGCTTTTAAGCACCTATGAGGGGAAGCGTATATGCGAAAGCTTTGTTGTAGGCGATCGGAGCGAAGGTTACAAGGTGAAAAATGTTGGCAATTGTACTATTTTTAATGACCCGTGGTTGAGCCTTAAGCAGGGCTCCAAATTTTCCACCTTCGATCGAGATGAGGATGGAATCCCCGATCGTAACTTGGCAAAGGATTTGGGTTATGGCTGGTGGTTCGATCCTACTATGAGTAACATTAGGTGTGTATACCAGTTTTGTTTTTTCTTTCATTTAATCCCTAATCCATTTAATTTCACAAATAATTTAATTAAAATAATTTTTTTAATTTAATTTTTTTATTGCTGGATATATTAGCTCCTATGATTTCATGTACAGTGGGTCGCAGCTTATTTCGACCAGCCCCTTGAAAAAAATTTGAATCAGTATATCTGGTAAACTATATGAGGTATTAAAATAATTCAAATGCAGATTTTTAGTTTTACTTTTCAACAACAAATATATGTTTCTATTTAATTTTTAAGATTTTTTTTACATTTATTAATAATATTTAAAGAAAAATACCGCTGAAAATACCGCCGCAGCTTATTTCAACCAGTCAATTTTCAGCACTGCCATGATCCGTTATTTTCCAAGAAACTTTTTTTTTGTTACATCGGCTTACATTTGTTATTTACTAACTAGTTGTGTTGGATTTCATCAACTTTGTGCCTTTTTTCCGCAATATATCAATTAAATCAAAATGGGACCCCGAACCTCTTTAGAGAAGAGAGAAGATGTGCTCCGTCACTTCAAAAACGGACTTTCTCGCCGGAAAATTGCGGAAATGGTTGCTCTTAGTGACTCTACAGTACAGAGTATTATTTACCGTTTTGTTCGCGAGAACAGAACGCATGACAAGGGCCGAAAAGCCCCAAACAAAATTTTTAATGAGACGGACGAGCGTTATATTGTCCGAAAAATCCGGGAAAACCCTAAACTTTCGGCTCCAAAAGTGGCTGCCCAAGTGGAGACAGAGCTGGGCAAGTCTTGCCACCCAGACACCATCCGACGAGTTCTGCACAGCCAGGGGTTTAATGGTCGAATTGCACGAAAGAAGCCTTTCATTAGTGCAAAAACCAGAAGGCAAGATTAAAATTCGCCATGGACCATATGAACAAGGACGAAACTTTTTGGCAGTCTGTAATATTCGCAGATGAGTCCAAATTTAATATTTTTGGCTCTGATGGAGCATCTTATGTCTGGCGTAAGCCAAACACAGAGCTCCATAATAAAAACCTAAAGGCGACTGTTAAACATGGCGGTGGCAGCGTCATGGTTTGGGCCTGTATGTCGTCAGCGGGAGTCGGGAAGCTGCATTTTATAGAGTCAACAATGGACAAGACCCAGTACCTCGACGTCTTGAAGAAAAATTTGGTCCAAAGTGCGGAGAAACTGGGAATCCAAGAGCAATTCCGGTTCTACCAAGACAATGACCCGAAACATAAGTCGGGCATTGTGCAGACTTGGCTAATATGGAATTGCCCCCACGTTATGCAACCTCCCGCCCAGTCACCGGATATGAACGTGATTGAAAATCTATGGGCAATATTGGACCAAAATATAAGGAAACGCCAGATAAAAAACAAAAAGATCTGAAGAACGCTTTGGAGGAGGAGTGGGAAAAAATAACCCCAGATGTAACCAAAAAATTGGTAGATTCCATGCCAAAACGGCTTAAAATGGTTATAGATAATAAGGGGGGGCATACTAAATATTAATTTTGTTGATTTTTTTAATTTAAGTTAGGTTTAAAACATTTTTGACTAGCTGGTTGAAATAAGCTGCGACGCTATTTTTAGTTGTATTTTTCTTTAAATATTATTATTAAATGTATAAAAAATCTTAGAAAATAAATAGAAACATATATTTGTTGTTGAAAAGTAAAACTAAAAATCTGCATTTGAATTATTTTGATACCTTTTTTAGTTCACGAGATATTTAGCTTTGAGTTTTTTTTAGGGTGCTGGTTGAAATAAGCTGCGACCCACTGTATGTATACATCCGAAGAACAGATTGAAGAAAACAAAACGCTATTTAAAACGGACTTTGGAAAAGGAGACATTTTAAGAAAATATATAGATTATAAATATGCACTAAAATGTAATTATTTTATTTTAAACTTAACTAATAATTTTGAATAAAAATTGGATTGTTGTGGAAAATGCCAAACAAACTTAGAAGCTGGAGAATTACTTTTCTTTTCTTAAGGGGTTATATACAGTTGTACCGCGCAAAAATATGGATTTTTATCGATTTTTTTTTGACACCATAGAAAATATTTATGAAAAATGTTTTACCGACGTTGTTTAGTACATGTTTCTGGGTACCTAATTAAATTTGTTCATAAAAAAAATATTACATAACAAAAATGTTATAGCCGAATTTCCGGATCGTCTTTTTCGATGGTGTCTTGCGGTGGACATGATTTCTCGAAAACGGTTCATCCGAAATCCAAAATTCAAAAAAGTTTAGTTAGTATATTGTATTGTCTAGTCCGTGAACGAGGCATTTTTAAAAATTTTGATTTAAAAAAAAATGGCGACGTTTTTAACAAAAAATGTACTTTTTCAAGGTATAAGATTTTCGTTTTTTGTGCTTTAAAAAAGGAGTTTTCAAAAAAATTGAAAATCCCTCGTTCACGGACTAGTTAATATCATAATAAATAAGTGGTCAAAATTTGGTGTTGATCGGATTAGTAGTTTTTTAGTAATCGTGTCCACCGCACAGGTAATTTCCCAAAAAAAAGATTCTGAGATAATCGTGTTTAAAGTTTCAAGTTTGTTCAAGTTTTATATGCAGATAGTGTGCTATAAATAGCTACAGCTTCGGATCTAATGCTCCGATCGTTATCAATTTTTGTGGGAGTACACCCAATAGAATATACTTAAAGAATATGCAATAAAAAAAAAATCGATTTTTTCATATATCACAACTGTATATAACCCCTTAAAAAATATAAAGCAGAGTGTCAACCTCAACCAATATATCAGTTATATGGCTTTATTTTCTATACATATCATTTCCGATCAATCAGTTATATGGCAGGTTAACATTTTAACTATTTAAAATTTTATTCATAAAATATCAATTTCCAATCTAAACCAACTATTTATTTTTTTTGCATATCGATTTTCCTCGCATTTGCTTTAGAATATACCATAAATAAATATACCAAATTTAATAAGAATCGGCCGACTTTATCTTATAGCTGTCATCATATCGGAACTAAATAAAGATAGAAGCTAGATAGAAAGATAGGCATAGATATAAAGATAGAAGCTTGGAACTTTTTTAAATTATGTATTTTAATTGGTTTCATAAAAAACAATTCTCATAACGATTTACATCGGGAGTTAGTTTTCTTTACTAGTTTTTTTATTAAAATTTTTTTCAAAAAATCAAAGAACTTTTCAAAAAATCAAAGAACTTTTCAAAAAATCAAAGAACTTTTCAAAAAATCAAAGAACTTTTCAAAAAATCATCGTCAAACTGATGCTCTCCCTGCGTTGTTTTATGATAAAAGGAACCGTTGTCGGCTTCCAGGCTAAAAAAAAAAAAAAACAGAGCAGAGATAGCACATAGAAACCACCCACTTGTCGCACGTGTCGAAACCACCCACTCACCCGCAACCACTTGAGCGCCCGCCGCACCAGAAGCCCAGACCAGACCCAGAGATAAAAGCCGACAGCAGCTGTGGAAACACACAGGGAGCAGTTGCCACAATCGTATGGATAATCACAACGCTCGAGTTGATAATGGCGACGTTGATGAGCCTGAGTCTGCAGCCCGGAGGCTACACTGCTCTTTCGAATGGGGGTTACGAGTGGTTGGGGTTGTTCTAATGGATGTACACTGAAGGGGTATATGATACCCGGTACTAGGATATGGATTTGGTGAGATATATATGGTAAGATATACATAAGTTATACAAATTGGGCTCTTTAGCCCATCTAGTCCTACCCGGTTCTATTTAGTATATGCCTAAATATTTTTCTTGTATTTAATATTTATATTAATTTTTAATATTAATAATATTTTTTACCCGGTACTATTCAATATACACATGTATGCCTACGGGAAATATAAGGATAACTAATCAAGTATATAGTATATGATACCTGATACTTATAGGGATTTTAGGAATATTTTCTTTCAATTTTAATTTTTGTAGTTATTGGAATTTAGTACTAGAAAAAGTAGTTGTTTAGTATATGATACCTGATACTTAAACAGTGATATTGGGGGCTTTCAAAAGGAAAATACCAGAAAAAATAAGTATATATTAATTATAATATCCTGTAGGAGTCATAAGGGGATGTCTCCACTTTTAAAAATTTCATTAGACAAAAAATATCAAATGCATGATACCTGGTACTTTTTATTGTTTTCCCTTAAACTTTAACTTTAAATATTTGAATATATTAGAGATGAAATATTAATAAATAATATTATTAATATTAAAGATTAAAATAGATTGGCAGGGTTTAACAGAATAAAGTTTGAAAGATTACCAAATATATTCCCAGTATATGATACCCAATACTCATCATATTTATAAATTCCAAGTAATTTAAATTTTTTTATAATATTCGGTACTAAAGAATAAAGAAACTACAGAAAATATCACTTTCCTTTAAGGATTACTTTAATTTCTGGCTTAAATATATCTTTCTAGATAATATATTTTTTGTTCTCACTGTATAAACATATCTTCCTATAGATTATATCTCCCTAAATATCATATCTAAGTACTATTTACAAAACCTCTCCATGATAATATTATCCATCTCTAAGACCTAAGATCTCCATAGGACTTAAGATAATCCCTGATATAATATTTTATTAAAAATACCAAAGAAAAGTAATA